TGCTCACTGGAAGGACAGATCCTGAAGCTGAGGCTCCAACACTTTGACCATCTGATGAGAAGGGGGGTCTACCTGGAAAAGACACTGATGTTGGGAAGGCGTGAACGCAGGAGGAGCAGGGGACGACAGAGGACGAGATGGTTGGACAGTGTCATCGAAGCTACCAACATGAATTTGACCCACCTCTGGGAGGCAGTGGAAGACAGGAGGGCCTGGTGTGCTCTGGTCCAAGGGGTCACAAAGAGTCAGACATGACTTAATGACTAAACAACAACAACAACCTGACAGAGTGTCTGCTCCGTGAACGCAGGAGGAGCAGGGGACGACAGAGGACGAGATGGTTGGACAGTGTCATCGAAGCTACCAACATGAATTTGACCCACCTCTGGGAGGCAGTGGAAGACAGGAGGGCCTGGTGTGCTCTGGTCCAAGGGGTCACAAAGAGTCAGACATGACTTAATGACTAAACAACAACAACAACCTGACAGAGTGTCTGCTCTCACCTAGCTCAACTCATGTCACTCGATCTAGCCAGGCTGGACAGCTGAGAGGCTTTTCCCGGACAGAGGCCCGGAAGGAGAGAACTAGAAACTGCCCTTGTCTCTGGAACACCTTGCCCCTTGAGATTCGCCTGGCACCCTCGCTGGGAGTTTTTACGAAGCTGAAGACCTGGTTCTTCAAGCAGGCCTTCCTCCCTTCCATTTCTTAGTTTTTATGTTTTGCCATCTTGGACTTTATCTCTATATTGTTGATATTGTTGTTTTAATTTTTGTTATATACTTGGACTGTAAGCTGCCCAGAGTAGATTAGTTGAATCTAGATGGAAAAATAAATAGTTAGATAAATATAAGTGTAACATGCACTGGCAAGCTACTGCTAGAAACAGGTTGCTGCTATTAGCCCCCACTGCAAACCAATAGTGTAGTGTGCAACAAAGGGTACAATAGGCAACTCATTACTAGCTGCAAATCACTGCTGTGATTTATGCTATGGCACCCATGCCAATGTAAACCAACCAATAGGATTCTGGCCATTTCCTGCATATTTGCAGGCATCTTTGGGAAAGCAGATATTTCCTTCCTGCTTTTCAATGTTTCCATTTGGTCTTCAGTGAAATTGAGTTCAGTATCATAGTTCAGTGATTGGGAATTATTAGGGGGAAAAGTGGGAGGAGCTATGGAAAAGCAGGCTACCCCAAAAAGGTATGTGTGTTATACAGTTCAGTAAGAGACAATGCCATAGAATTCTGATATAAAAAGTGACAATGAAGAATAGTTGGAGAGGAAATCTGAACTAATCTGAAAAAGGAATTCATATCAGCCAGGCAGGACATATGCATTGCTCAATGGGCATGGAGTCAAAGCAAAGGGAAATTGTAGGTGAAGGGAGAAGCAAGGCCAAGCCTGAAAGCATAACCTGGAGGAAAGAAAAAGAGTTATGATTCAGGAGACAATGGGGCTCAACAGAGAATGATCTGTACGTGTAGATATTGAAATATCTTGTTACCTAGGAGCTGGAAAGGAGGGAGTGGAAGGATGATAATAAAAGATAGAGATGCAGAGAGAATGAAGGTGACACCAACATCTAGGATGTCTAAATACTATAGAAAATAAAAGGGCTTCAATGGCAAGTCAATATAGATTCAAATGCTCTGAGTTATCAAATTTATGAAGAAGAGTTTAATTTGTTATGAACTTTTTCTATTTGTAGAGTGGAATAAAGCCATTTCAGTGGGAATAGGAATTCTATTAAGCACCTTAGACTGCATCAAAAATTTAGTGAAACAGTCAGACCACAGTTTAGGAAACAGAAAACACAATGAAATTCTAATCTCATTTTCACTAGAAGTCCTTGTGTTGTGTCAGTAAGACCTGAGCAGTACTATTAAAGACAGCACCTTTGGGACATTAATTCACGGGACTCCTAAGACAAAAGTAACATGATGGTAGATAACATGAGGTCTTATCTGCACATAAATTTGATCACAGGACTGTAATACACACAGAACTCCACAAACTTCTAGGACACATTTTACTTCTTGAAAAGGAGTTTGAATATGTTTATACTTTCTTTTACTTTTAGAAGAATAATGGAAACAGTTGATTAAAATCTATTGCATCAAGGGTCAGAGGGCCTAACATTAAAGCACATACAGCAGTGTGATGTATCATGATTTCATTGGGGAAGTGAGCTCTTCATACCTCTTAGGACTACAGAGTCTTGTAGACTAGCCTAAACCTCCATAGGTTAGATGCCACCTTGTAAAATGCATCTACCTATACATGGCATCCATTTTTACACCACAATAAAATAGTTTTTAATGTGGTGTGAACATCTTTGCTGGTTTTTGTGTGGCAGAAAAACAAAATCACCACTCTGGAAACTATAAACTAAATCCTTTTAGAAGAGGAAAATCTTAGGACTGAAGTTGATCAAAGAAGTCAGTTCACATTAAGATAGTGCAGATGTTACTTACAGTAAATAATGAGTTTAATCCCCAAACAACATCCTGCAAAATGAAAAGAAGTGGATTCAGCCTTAAACCTCACCACTTCAGAGGAGATTTCTTAATTTTTAACAGAACAAAACATCAAGGTTCTGAATTCCAGCACAAAATATTTAGTATACTGCATGTTTTACATAAAAAATAGGTGGCTGGAACTAAAATAGTTAAAGAAGTATGTTGCAATAGAGGACAAAGTAAAAAGCAATTTTGTCCTCTATTTCAAGGCATCTCCTCTCTGTTCCATCCATGGAACTGATCAACTAGACACAACCACATAATGCAATGTTGCTTCAATAGGGTCACAAAATTATATTCAGCATTTTTACCTCAAATACTAACAGCTATGTACAGGCCCACAAGAACGATCTAAGAAAGTTAGATACTGAAGTATAACTAAACATTCTAGGCCAGATTCTGCCATAATGGTCTTCTTTCAAAAGTAGCTATGAGGGCTGTAACATGTCCATCATTTTTTACCATGCTGCAGCCCTGATCCACATGCCCACCATATCAATGAGTTACTTTTGAAAAAAGAAAACTGGCACATGGTATCTATGCATTTTCTCCTTGGTGACTCACAGCAGTTTTGGTAAGGAGAGACAGACTGAAATCCTTTTGTGCAGTTACACAAAGCGTGTACATTTAGCAGCAAATAGACATAAGTTAAAAATAATACCCATAGGCATTATCTGTTGCACACCAAGTTACACAACTCAGTTTGCAAGTTAACATCTAGGGTGATTTCTGACCTTACACATATTCTCCACTAAAATTTACATCCTTTGCATAACTGGACAAGACTTTCTGGCCTCTGTATCAAGGCTGAAAAGGTTATATATACATGGTGCAGCCTGGTTCCTCTTGTAGCTGCTTTTAAAAGGGTAAAATTAATGGTGGCGAGCCAATTACAAATCACGCAGAGATCTATCGAGGCTCTAATGCTACACATGTGTGGGCCTGATAAATGACAGAGAAGGATCCAATTTACCCAAATGGCCAGGTGGGGGGAACGACATCTCATTATGCAAACCTGGATCTGTTAATGCAATAATGAATTGACTTCCCTCAAAATATTTTAAATAATTTTGCATTGTTTGTTTCACCATTCTTACTTTCTCGACTTCAAGAAACTGAACTTTCACTTAGGGCCCACAATAAGATGAAATGTCAGGAAGATAATCCTTTGGTTGAGAAGACACTACATAATCCAACTTGGATATGACTCCTTCCAAAACTGAAGATCAAAACAAGATGCCCACATAAGCACAAAAATAATTAATCAGTATTATTCACATAATACTATGGCTTTTATAATGGTGATGTTTTTGACCTCTGTTTTAGAAGTTCACATTGCTTTTACATCATGTCACAGCCAATGTACCCTCTAATTTTCAGCCCCATTAGGCCGGGCTCCAACTCACTCATGCGTGACTCTGCCCCCCCCCGTGCACAGGGTTCTGTCACGACTGGAACCAAAGGGGCTGAACCTGAGTGCTCTATGAAGAAAGCTGCACAGAGGGAGGAGGAGCTGCATGTGCATGGCTTAGAGCAGGGGTCCCCAACCCCTGGTCCACGGCCCAGTACCGGGTCATAACCTTGGCAGGACCAGGCCGCAGAGACAGATCTCCTGCCCCCCCACGGAGACGCATGCACACCCACCCACACATGGATGCCCTCCACATGCACACATGGATGCATGCACACCCACCCTGCATGCATGGACACACACACACACACCCCTATCCCCTGCATACACACATGGAGGGCCCCCCGCACGCATGCTAAACTGGTCCGTGATGCCAAAAAGTTTGGGGACCACTGGCTTAAGAGGGAACCTTGGCCACAGCACAGTGCCACTACTATGCTTTCTGTGGTTGTCATGGGACAGGAATAAATTTTGGGGCTGCATTCTAAAGATGACTTCTAGCCTGCACAATAAATAAATAAATAAATTTTATCTTACATTTAAAGCTTCCATTATCATTGATGTTCTATGTGTTTTGCCATTTAATTCTTATCTCTTTTTGAAACAGAGGTAGCATCCAGATCAAGATATTTCAAAGGAAATAAAAATAGTAACTCAAATTCGACACTCCTAAGAAAGTATATTTAATTTCCATCAATTTTAAGAGAAGTGAGCTGAACATGTATGTGCTGTCCCAGTATAACATAAATATGCTTAACTTTGGCAGGACAGAGCCCCAAAGACTGAAGAAAATATATCACATTCCTTGAGGTTTTTCTCTAATCTACTCCAAGCAAACGTTTTATATAAGACTACCTTTAAGGTTCTGGTTGGAGCCCAGCCAGTACCATCAATCGAATGTTCTCTCAATAAACTGAAAGAGACACACACATACGTTATACATTGCAAGAGAACAAATGCAATACATACACCTACTCTTTCCTCTTTAACAATAATGTCTCCACAAAAGTTTGCAAAATGCATGTGCAGAGTCTTGCATATAGATACATACCCACAGACATGGCAAAAATTGTTGATACAGATTTTGTGCTGTCCAATAATTTATGACTTAATACTGACCCTATGAACTAATGACCTAATACAAATACATGCAAACCAAACCTGCAAAGTTCAAATTCTAAGAAATACAGTAACTCATTCTAAGTTTGGAACACAAAATGTTTCCCTCCCTCTGAATCTATTACTCAAATAATATAGGCTTTGCCCTCTGTCTTAAATATGAAATCAGTGTTTAACTTAAACATATGTACAAAATTAAATTCTTATTTTCCATTTAAATTTTGGTTATGAAAGAATTTGATTTAAAAATTATACAGAGTTTACACTGCCTTTATCAGTGAGTAAATGAAGTGGGACATCGTTCCTCAAAGAGCCTTGTCAAACAGCTCTGCAAGAACAGAGCCTGTTATTTAATCCAGTTTCTGGAAGAGGGGCCAAGAAGAAAAGGCTAGAGAACATCTGAGAGAGGAATATTCTCCTTCAAACTTTATCTCTCCTCCTGCCCACCTCCTAAAGCCAAAAGGGAACTTCACAATTTTAATAAGAGACAATACCCATTCTACTTTCCTCAGATCCCCCCTTTTTCTCATAAAATGGTTGAAGATGATAGCTGACAACAAGCACATTGCAGAAGACTAGATTTAGCCAGTGTATGACCAACCAACTAACATTGTTTTTCAAGAAGACAGAAGAGTACAACATAGACTTCAGGCATTCAAATTAAATTGCCATAACTTATGAGTGATGACTAGAGGAGAATGACATCCAATGAAAAAATGCACATATTTTCTCTTTGTGAAAAAATTAAATAATACTGGTTGGTATAGTGCAGAAGACTATTGTAGTCTGTCATTTATAAGCAGTGATATCAACATTCCCCATAAGACTGTTTAAAGAAAGGCATTTGCAAGTGTCCATGCCCCTCCCTCCCTCATACACATACACACATACACAACTTTACTGACTGTATGTACAGAAGTGAGTTATGCGAATCATATATTACCTTAAACAGATTTCTCCTGTCTCAGTAATGTTGGGATGCCAGATTCTGGTCAAACACTTTACTTTGGGAGGCTGCCAGAAAGCAAAAACAGAGGCTTCAAAGCCATTCTATCTAAAAGACAAATCAAGAATTCTTATACATGATTTTAGACACTCCCTTTCCATGGTGCATATAATTTCTCCCACCATCAGACTCCTATCATTTTACCCAGAAGATAAATACTACTCCTCATGAGGATCTCATTTTATTTTATTCAGGTGAACCAGAATCAGCACAGATCGACACATGATGCCCCTGTCAATCCAATATCTGCCAGCTAAGATAAGTCAGAAGTAAGAGACTACTTTCAAGCCAGGAAGAGAACAGCATGATGATACTGTAAATTGCTCACCATGTTTTGAGTCTTCTATTATTTTTCAAAAACATATTCACTGAATAGTGTGGCAAAAGAAACCAGTTGTGTTTTTTAAAAGGTATTGTGTCAACCAGACAGGGTTGAGAAAGACGTGGGAAATAGCGGGTGGAATGTGTTCTCTTCTGTAAACAGAGCTGCAAAAGGTACACATTCCCAATAAAGAGTAGCAAGCTTAAAACGGGATGTAGCTGGATCAACTACCAAGCCTGTTTAGACATCATTTTTTCTACAATCTATCTGCACTGCCTAGAAAACAGTGTCTCTTCTTTAACGACCACCAATTTGCTTTCAAAAGTGAAATTTAGAAGCTAAAATTTGGGAGCATACTCAAAATTGGTATAATCACATTATCCAGAACACTGAGTAGTGCCTTCAGAACCTCTGAAGCAGTACAAAAAAGAGCAACATAGTCTCAGTTATTATGCAGGGGCTCTAGTCATCAGACAGCCATGGTTAATAGCCAAATTCCATGATATATCTCACATGAACAAATGGTGAACTGTACTTTTTAGCTTTGTAGCAATATTTTCATCATAATTACTGAGTGATGCTAAGGTCTTATCACTCAATCCTGTCACTTTCTGAAAGACTGAGGTTTCTTACGTGTCTTTTACCCAAGTAGATAATGTACAATGGGAACTAAGAAATTAATATCATAGTTTTCTAACCTTTCCCATCCCTGGGAAAGAAAAGCTTTGGAAGGAGCATATGTTGGAATGTTTCCAGGAGAACACTATGAGCACAATGCACCGACAACAGCAATCTCTCTACTTGTGCTGTCCATAGACATCCATATAAAGTTTATTACAGGCTGGGAAAAGATTATGAGTTCTGCACACCTACTTTAGCGCAATTTACTAGGATAAGTAACAGCATTTTGGCCACAGTGTACCAGCCATCTACAGCAAACTAACCAGGCAGCTTGCAAGTAGTAGTAGAAGCAAGAGGTGATACACACTATATACAGTCGTGCCCCGCTTAACTATTACCCCGTATAACTACGAATCCGCTTCACGACAATGTTTTTGCGATCGCAACTGCGACGTCCATGCAAGGAACCAGGCCTGCTGCTTCTCAGGATGGTGGTGGCAGCAGTGGCATCAGGACAAGGTAGGGAGGGGGCAGGAGGGGGGCATCCTGTTTCGCCAAAGCAAAACAAAGTGCCAAGGGGAAAATTGGTTGCACCACTTTTAAGTTTTTAGACCATGTTTTTGTTCTTTATGCTATATTTACTTCTGTGTAGTTTAACTAGAAAAGTGCCTCGGCACTAGTAGTGTGCTAGAGAGGAAGGGAGGGAGAAGGAGAGCACTTTGTTTGAATTTATGGGGGGGGTAGGGCATATTTGTTTTATTTTTATATGGTTTTAATATTATTTTGTAAGCCACCCAGAGTAGTGGCATGTTCACTAAATGGGAGGGATATAAATCTAAATAAATAAAAAAAATCAGCAAAATGGGATCCCCAGACCAAACAATGAACAAGCCCAATTTGTATTTTTTCCTTATTTGTGGTCTGTTCCCCCCCATCTCTAGTGCATATCAGAATCCACATTGGTTCAGTTCAGATGATTTTCTAAACCTGTTTGGGAAACTGAATGAGTTGTGGGCCTACATACATTCTTTTTCCAGTGACAAGCTGTTCAAACTTCTACTTCTAATTTGCTGCAACCTAATGCATAGTTTGGAAGATTAGCTGAACTGAATCTATGAGTCTGTCAAAGGTTAATGGCACACAAGTAAAAACTAGCCACGTGACAAGAAAAGTGATTGTTTCCACACAACTTTTCACAATGTGTTTCCTCAGCTCTATTGTGCAATTGTGGAATCCAAAACCTGGCACATTTGTGGAGGAGAAAACACAAGTATTTCAAGGGCACAAGCAGGCTTTAGGGCTTTGCTGTCTCTTATGTCAAGCTTAATAGATTTGCATGTGGCAACACACAACATTCCTTAATGCAGAATCCAGAATTTTGCTGTGGGGAACTTTGGGTATGTCTCTAACTTTTAATCCAATCGTATTAATATTTTAATTGTATTTTATGATTATCTATATTTTATATTGTCCATTTTATGTTGTCAGCCGCCCTGAGAAGACATCGTCTAGAGGGGCGGGGTATAAATTTAATTAATAAATAAATAAATAGAGGAACAACTAGAATATCAGTGGATGAAGATTGTTTCTAACCAAGGCTTTTACTGTGCCGTCACGAGTTAACGGAGTTTCAAGGCATCATCAAATAACTGTAACTGGTACTTTTTTGTAACTGTTCTGTGCCGTTGTGTCGGAACTGACTTACCATGAAAGCTCTATTGGGGTTGTGTCATTCAGTGAGAATATTCAGGGTATTTCTACAAGCCTCATAAAATAATCAAGCCATCACCGGAAATCTATCCAAGTTTCACCTTTACTTATTGGCCTGCCTTGTTTACATCTATCCCCTAATGATAATCTGAATTAATACATATTGTGTTGAGTATACCTAGTGCTGGAGATTCCAGTGCAGCAGGAGCACAAAACAGAATTGGATAGTATACAAAACCTTAAGATGGCATGGTAGTTTGTAAAGACACGTTATTAACACAAAAGAGACAGTTACATATCTCCCTGTACTTAGATGCATAACATATGTGAGGGAATGTACAAAGAAAGAATTAAATTTTAAGTTGTGGTTGATTTGTCAATCAGTATGATGTTTCAAAAGCACAAGGCAGATTTGTCACTAAGCAGCAATCTTAGTATTTTTCCCCACCTTAATGCTTTGATATTTTAGTATCGCTCTATATAAAGTCTGATAAAAGTCACACAGGTAAACCATGTAGTGACAAAATACTTTAAACACCCCTGCCCTTCTTAGTGGACCTGTGCGAATTAGAAAAATGTATTTGGTGCATACATTGAGAAATCACACAAGTCAGACAATAAATCCAGTGATTTTGATTTCCTTATTCTGGAGAAAGCAGGTGCAGCTACCAGAGGTAGCACAAGGAAAGGAAGAAACAACAGCAAATAGTTCAACTGTATCACTTTCAAAAACATAATCACACTCAGAATGAAACATTTCACCTTGTGCCAACAAAGCAACAGATCCTTAGCGGCTCGGATTCATTCCATATAGCACATGCATTAAGCAGCATAAACTCATGTTTCTTTGCACAACAGCACAAGACTATATCACAAACTATAATTGAAATTAAGGTGATTTTTAGAAGTAGTTTGTGCTACAGCATGCATATTTACTTCTTGAAGAAAAAGGATAAGAATTCCACTGGGAATACCAAATATCCTTGACTATACCTTCCTGCTTATTTAATTCTTTTTTATTTATGTAAAAATCATATTACAATATATAATTAAAATATTTAAGCAAAAGTTGATGTTACATCACTGGCACCCAACTACTCCAAAAGAGATCTTGATTGGACATGTTCACCTGAGATTTTCTTTCAGAATACTCCCCAGTGGAAATTCTGAAGTTCCTCACAGGCCTTTGTATGCTCCGTCTATTAAGTCCCTCCTTGCTCATCCCATTCCCACAAGAAATTAAAAAAACTAAACAGATAATCCAGCAGGTATTTGAAGAGGTGTTTGAATATGCCTAAGTCATTCAATGCTAGCTTTATAAAGCCATGAGTCGAGCACATGCAATACAAGGGGATATGTTATCTAAATCATATTGTTCACATAATGCTCATGGAACTAAGACTGACTCCTACACTCACTTATCTGGAGTACATCTCATGAGCTAAAGGAGACTTATCCAAATACAGAAGCACAAGATTGCACTAAAAACAAGCTATTCAGAGTATACCTGTGAAGATTCTCAGTGATGTTATCTGGAAGTTGAGTCATGGCAACTGACCTTTTTTTTTTATTAGGTTGAAATTTTTCCCTACTCATCCAAGTAGCTTCTTCAGTCCGAAGAGAGGTGGTGGGAGACCCCTGATATTTATTTGTTTGTTTGATTGATTTATATCCTGCTCATCTGGTCAAATCGACCACTCTGAGCGGCTTCCATAAAAAGTATACAGTGAAACACAAATTTTTTTCAGATAAACACCACCACATATAATAAAACAAATAATAAATGGAAAGAGAAAGGAAATTAAGTATTGACAGGAGGGAAGGCCTGAACATATAACTATGTTTTTAGTTGACTCTTAAATATGCTCAGCGTAGGGGCCGCACAAATCGCTGGAGGAAGGTTATTGCAGAGGCAAGGAGCCACCGCCGAGAAGGCCTGATTTAGTGTTCTTTCCTTCCGGGCCTCCCTCGGTGTTAGGCTCCTCAGCCTCACCTCCTGGCTCGTGCGGGTGATCCGGGTAGATCTAGGTGGGAGCAGGCGTTCCGCCAAATATCGAGGTCCTAAACTGTTTAGGGCCTTGTATGTAAGCATTAACACTTTGAAATCGACGCGGAAACGGATGGGCAGCCAGTGCAGCTTCGCCAGAGTAGGAGAGATATGGTATTTTCTCACTCCAGTGAGGAGTCTGGCCGCCGCGTTCTGCACCACCTGACGTTTTCGCGTCAGCTTCAAAGGGAGCACCACGTAGAGCGCGTTACAGTGGTCTAATCTAGAGATTAGGAGCGCATGTACTAAGGTAGTGAGCAGCCCCGTGTCTAGGTAAGGACGCAGCCGGGCAATCCGCCAAAGGTGGAAAAAGGCGGTGCGGACAACCGACGCCACCTGCGTTTCCATGGTGAGCGTCCGGTCCAGGTATACCCCCAGGCTGCAAACCCCTCTCTTCACGGCCAGGGCCACCCCCCCAAACGAGAGTCACCCAGGCCGCCCACAACAGGGGCACCCACCCTCAGAACCTCCATCTTGTCCGGGTTCAGCCGTTCTCCTGATATACCCTCCACATTGATTTCACTCTCACACACCTGTCCTTTGTCCATCTAACGAGACTACTACAATTATGGAGTCAGCTGAGAGGTGACCAGCTAAGTGCTGATATAATATATTCCACAATTTAAAAAATCTTTAAGTATTATTTTATATCCTCTGGGCTATAAAATAAATGAAAAAGTGCAATATATTGAAAACAGCGCTTACCTGACCCTCTGTGGGCCAGCTGCACATTACAACAAGGATTCATGACAGTTATGATGCCACAGTTTAGTATATAGTAGGGTCTCTTATCAGAATAAAAGATGTCAGGCTGGAAGGGTGCATGAATGTCCTAAAGATCAAGAAGAAAAGTAAAATCTCTTCTTGCTATGTGCAGTCAAGTTGTCTCTGACCCATGGTGATCCATGAAATCTCTATCTGTATTGCTTCCTTTAAACCTGATAAAAGATGCAGTTGAGACATACTAAAACAGCAATACTTTTCTAATTTGCAACTTTCTCTTTTAACTAGTTTGAAAATAGTTTCTAATTTAAGTCTCCAGACTGAGGAAACTACAAACAAATAAAAAAATTGAAAACAACATTTAGTCAAGACATTACTAGAATCAAAATTGCTCTAAAGGTTTATGATAGAAATAGATGAAGTACAGATTATTTTTTAAATTCATAAAGATATTTTGGTCTCAAAGAGCAAGATTACTGCATGGAGATCCAACTCTTCTGCAAAATGTAGTTTCAATCTTTCCAAATAGTCTTTCCATAAATATCCTACAGAGCTGTTCCTTAAAATTCTCAACAAGTCCAGTACAGTATACTCTGCAATGCAAATGACAGAACTGGCCAAATGCATCTAACGAGGAATAGCTGATGTGCCAACAGTGCTTATCAGTAAATGAAACTGAAGCCAACAATATTTATGCACTTTTCTTTATTTGAGAGGCTGAACTCCAATAATCACCACCCCTATCCTGACTTTAGCCATTCATGGTTACAGAAGCCAATTCATTGTTCCTCCAAACATCAATGGAAACTTTTCTATCTAAATGTTTAATGTGACTCCTTTCTGTTTGGGCTATAACTGTATTGTTATCTGATTATCCTTCTCCTGGAGACACATCTGATAAGATTTAGCATGTGGTGCGGGGAAAAGATATCTACATCTGTCTCATCCCATCACCAAAAAGCATGTGAAACAGTAGTTAAATGTTGAGAACATATGAACAATACAGCATAAACAGAGACAAGAAAGGAAAATAAGGAAAGGGGCAAAGGAGAAGACAAAGACGTTATAAGAGCCTCGTGGTGCAGTGGTTAAAACGCTGTACTGCAGCTAAGACTGTGCTCATGACCTGGGGTTCAAATCCCAGGTAGCCGGCTCAAGGTTGACTCAGCCTTCTATCCTTCCGAGGTCGGTAAAATGAGTACCCAGCTTGCTGGGGGGGCAATGTGTAGCCTGTATAATTAAACTGTAAACCGCCCGGAGAGTGCTTGTAGCGCTATGGGGCGGTATATAAGTCCAAAATAAAATAAATAAATAAATAAAAATAACCTAAATTCCAACTTTTCTTCTTCCATTTGTTCTTGGGGAGGCCCACATCCAGCCAGAAAAAAGTTTAGTACAGTATCTTAACAGACAGGAGTAAGAACATAAGGCAAGGTAACAATAAACATGCATATATCTTATCTAGTGAACGGAGAAGTTTCTACAGCAAGATTCTGGGAAAGTGCTAATGCTAAAATAATTGAAAGGTTATAAAATGATGCACTTGTCTGAGTTTTGGAAGTCTGACTGCCGAACCAATTGACAGCCTTGAATAACAAAACAAAATTTGTTCTAATAAGCTGAAGTGAGCACTTCTGCTCTAAACTTTCATGTATCATTTCTTTATGCATCAAGAATAAAAAGAAGAGTCCCCAGAACAATAAAGTGAGCTTCTAAATCAACTGTCCCTTGTCTTTCCCTTTTTACTATGTCTCACCCCCAGGAAGCTGTGTATCATACTCTTAAACTTATTAAACAAATATATTATGCAGATATATTTGTCAATATGGTAAGATCACATTACAGTGCCTGTAAGCTAAGAAGCCCCTAAGGAAGCATGAATTGGGGGGTGGGGAGAATTAATACATCAAGAATAAGGCAGTTATCTCAAAATAAGATTTCAGTGTTCTTCTAATTGTATCTACAGGCTCAAACATACCCCCCATTTTTCATTTTGTTGCTCTGCTCTTTGTTGTTTTCTCAATAGGAAATAGTAAGCAAACCCTCATATAAAAAAACCACCTTTTCTGAAAATTAATGACAGCCTGTGACAATCAATACTACAAAAAACAGATAATACAGTGGCAGCTGTACTTATATGTGAGTTTTTTTAGTGATTATGTATTGGGAAACTTAAAGTTAGAAGCAGGTATGCATAACTTGCATTTGAGAATAAATTTTGAGTTAAAATCCAATCCAATTTCAGATATACAAGCTTTTAAAAATGAGAAAAAGTATCTCCAATGATAAGACATTATGCAAAATGTCAAAGGGTTCCCAATTAGCAGAGCTACTATCCAATCAGAACAGAATCCATTATTTCACAAACATGGTGACCCTCACATTTTTCCTGCATAAACAGGAAGGCATGAACTAAACAACTTTATGTCTCACAATTACCCTGTTCTCCTGTAAGCTCTGCAGCTAACTGCAATTACCAGATTTCACACAGATGACTTCTTTAATAGTTTCCAAAATTGAATTTGGAATTGTGGCTTCTTTGGCCTTCAGTAATACAACCATCTTTAAGAAATGTATAAGTAAGCATCTCTTGATAAAAATCACACTTAAATCTGTTGAAATTGCTTCAAAATATTTGCTTTCAAGATTAAAATCTATCTAATATGCAATTAATTCTCTTTTACAAACTGCATTTCAGACATGCAAAAGAATACAAATGACACCTGAATGATATATGGTTACATGCTTAGTATAATTTATTATAAAATATTACATTTCTGGGAAGTCCTTCTCTAAAAAAACTCAGGCTATTTTATAATTGAAGTATACATTTTATAATGCATCCAGAAATTGTTTAAAGCATCGTGCAAAATGCAGCTCAAGAACTGTTAACAATATTTAATTACTTACCACCATATTATAGGCATCAGGTACCTCAATTTCAAACTGAAATGTTCCATTTTGATAATAACCTTCGTCTGTTAAAGAAACACAGATGATTAACAAACATTCAATACTACAGAATAGAAACCATCAGCAATGTTTTCTCCTAAACATTATGGCCAGACTCCTATTAGTCAGTTACACCACTACTGAGGGCAAACTGCTGCTAGGTAAGGAGTCCCTCTTGTATTCCCCATTGTGTTCCAGTTGTAAGAGCTGGTTCACATCAAAGAGCACAAGCAGCAACTTGTTAACAATGACAATCAAAAGAAATAAAGAAAGAAAGAGAAAGAAAGAGAGAGAGAGAGAGAGAGAGAGAGAGAGAGAGAGAGAGAGAGAGAGAGAGAGAGAGAGAGAGAGAGAGAGAGAGAGAGAGAGAGAGAGAGAGAGAGAGAGAGAGAGAGAGAGAGAGAGAGAGAGAGAGAGAGAGAGAGAGAGAGAGAGAGAGAGAGAGAGAGAGAGAGAGAGAGAGAGAGAGAGAGAGAAAGAAAGAAAGAGCATGCTAGGAAGATAGTGGGAAGAGAGCTCCAGAAAGGAAATGATATGAAGCATTGCCGAGGAAAGAAATCAAGTAGACAGAATGCAGAAAAAAGCCTGAAGAGTCCTGGAATTTAAGAACAAGCAATGGAAATCTCTCCCATATGGGACAGTCCAGAGTTAAACAGGGTCTCTGGCTCCTAATGTACTGGCACCAACCAAAATAATTGCTCTGACTGACATGGCAGTACCTATTAGCCCCTTGCAGTCGTGAAGAAGGTACATATATGCAGCCCATATATACTGAGAAAATTGTGGTAGCTCCACCACATCTGTCACCCCATCAAACATGACTGTATAAAGAGGGAGATGCCACTGTATTCTTTAAATGTGAACCCCAATCCTTCAGAACTAGGGTTGCGGATGACAAGGAGATGCTGCCTAGATAACATAGCATTTCCCTCCTCAAATAGTTGTGTTTCTGTATTAAATGTTATGGTAAAGGAGGCAGTGCTAACACACTCCCCTCAGTGTGTTTGAATTCCACCCACCCTCTTGATAACTGAATAGAGCTTTAGTGCCTAAATTGCTGTCTTCATGCCATCCTTATGGGGGGCATTCAAACAGACATGCAGCACAACAGAATGTTCAACAACAGAGAGCTGAGAAGAAAAGTTTCACATTCTGTTCCAGAATCATTACTGTAATGTGCTTTGTTTGTTCCACCCTACAATTTTTCAAGTCTGAGGGAAAAAGAATGAGAAAAAATTAAAGATTCATATGAGGTACTGTAAACTAAGCTTCGTTACAAACTAACTCTCCTGAGGTCTAACTGTGCCACCTAGCGTCTACATCTACATAGTACAAACTCTAAAATTGTGTAATGCATCCTAGTGCATCACACATTCAACTGTGCTTCAGATCTAACTAAAAAGGATACTAATGAATTATTCAGATGAAGTGAATACCCTAGCATGGCAGCAAAATCTGAATAATGCATAACTATATTTTATAAGTGGGAAACTGCTGGAGAGCTCAATGGTTTAGGTATTATGCTACAGAACCAGAGGTTGGGAGTTTGATTTCCCATTTTGTCTCTCTGACAGGGTGTGGACTTAATACATAGTGCCCCTTCCAGTTCAAAGATGATGACAATGATTATACAACCGGTTCAGTTAAAAAATCATCAGCTGCATTATCTCAGTGTTACCTCCATGACTGTACTGATGACATTTTCCACATGATAAAAAGCATTTTCTCTTTCCTGGGCAAATGGCATAGCAAAAATGAAAAACTACCAGGAAAAACTAAGCTAACTTGTCAGTAGTTTAATGTGTGCTATTATGTAATAATTTTTTTAAAAAAAATACCTTTATTCCCTATTAGGCGGTATTATATGGATATGTGCAACTACTGTAATAGAAATTGGCATTACAGTGGACCCTCTACTTACGGAATTAATCCGTATTGGAATGGTGTCTGCAAGTCGAAAAGTCTGTAGGTCGAATCTCCATTGACCTACAATGCATTGAAAACCGATTAATCCCATAACCGGTGGTTTTTATTCTATTTTTGTTCCATTTTGGGTTTTTTCTGGTCTGTAAGTCGATTCTCCGGCTGCAAGTCGAATCTAAATTTTGCAGCCAGAGAAGTCTGTAACTCGAAAAGTCTGTAAATTGAGCCGTCTGTAAGTCGAGGGTCCACTGTAAAACATACTGGTAAGCCATATGTCAAAAACTTGTGGCCACATTAATTGTGCAAAAATAATGCAATTCTGGATTTATAATAGATATTAGCAGTGAAAAGAGAAATAGGTAATTCAGGGAAGGAAAAATGAGGCTATTTGGAATCAGAAGATAATATCCACATTAAACTTTCAAAATTCAATAAAAAAGTTTTATTTTTTCTACAGCTATTTTTGACTTGCTAACAAAGACTCACAATTAGACACCTGTTAATAATTATATTTGAAGATTTGTTTGTCTACGGCTGACACATACGACCTGCTACTATTGCAGTCAACACACATTAGTGTTTTGGAAAATAGTATGTAATTACATCAAGGATATGAAAGATTATAATTAGATTCACCAGTTTTTTGAAATACAGTATATTAGAAACATAATCCCTTCCAAGGACAGTATCTTCATATAAACTTGCCTGGGCTTTAAGGTCTGCAAAAGAAGCCCTTTTAAAAGTAACCTTCTGTGGTTCATAGGGTGGGGAACCAAGAGAAGGCCTTCTTGTTAGCTAGACTCAGGCTATGAAACTCCTTACTAAGGGAGGCTATATTTGCCTCCCTGCTTTCCTTTCAGGGGCAGGCAAAACTTTTTTGTTAAAGCAGGTCTTTGGCAATTAAGAGCCTCCAATTATATGATCTTAGCTGACATGCTAGTACTTACTGTTTTAAGAAAAATTATTATTGTTGTTTTAAATTAAATGACTTTAAAGAATTTCAATTTTAACTGAATTTTAGTTTTACAGTTGAATTTAATTCTATTTTAATGTTTGTTGTTTTACTGTATTTTTATTTTCTAATATTTTAAACTGGGCCCTAATTCTGTGAGAAGAATTGAGGTCAAAGAAATGGTGATCTGACATACAGTAACCATGGATTAACTAATATTGGCTGCAGTCCTCTTGCTTAGCATGGTAAAATGCACTAGGTCTATTGAATCAGTGGGGATTTCGTAAATCAGCTACTCCACAAGTTCCACTATACGAAAGTCACAGCTACAGTAGGCCCATTTGAATCAATGAAACTTACAAAGGCACTGACTTGCCAAATCCTCACTGATTCAATGGGCTTATTGCAATGAAATGAAATGAGGCCAGAGCTAAACTGAAAAGGGGCATTAGGGATGCCAAAGCTATGTACAGCCAGAGAACTGAGCAACACCTTGAGAGTTCTGACACTCGTCAAGTATGGCACGGCCTATGACAAATCACAGGGCAGAGTAACAAAAACAGTCTGTGTAGCAGCAGTGATTTTTTGGCTGAGCAGTTAAATCAATTTTTCAGCCGTTTTGAGGTGGAAACAGGAACAACCATTATTCCAGCACCTACTGTCCATAATACAGTGGTGCCTCGCATAGCGAGGTTAATCCGTTCCGGATTAACCTTCGCTATGCTGAAGCATCGTTGAACGGGGCAGGGAATTCCATTGGAACGCATTAAACATGGTTTAATGCGTTCCAAATGGGCCGAATACTCACCGTTCAGCAATGCTTCTTGATGGCCGGCAGCCATTTTCGCGGCCTCGCCTCGCTTAACTAGGGCGTGAAAACGCTGTGCGCAGCCATTTTGGGCCATTTCTGGGCTTCCGGCGGCCATTTTGGCCGCCGAACAGCTGATCATCGGGCTTCGTTTTGCGAAGATCGGTAAGCGAAA